CATCGTGGTGAGCGGCATCAAGCACAGCATCAGGACAGGTAGGAGCCGGGCCGGGGCGCCACGGGCTGCGGCACTCGGACCCTCGGACCCCGCGGCCCCTCACCCCTCGGCACCGCAGCCAGCGGCGGCGACTACTGGCGCATCCTGAACCCGGGCGAGTACCGCGTGTCGGCGCGGGCCGAGGGCTACAACCCCAGCACGAAGACCTGCAGCGTCTTCTACGACATCGGCGCCACGCAGTGCAACTTCGTGCTGGCGCGCTCCAACTGGAAGCGCATCCGCGAGATCATGGCCATGAACGGGAACCGGCCCATCCGCCGCGTGGTGCCCGGCCGCCCCATGACGCTCCGCGAGCGCCTGCGGCTGCGCCAGCGCCTGCGGCTCCGGCAGCGGCTCCGCGAGCGGATGAGGCTGCGGCGACTGAACGCCACCGCCGGCCCCGCCGCCCTCCCCACCACCCTGCCGCCCCGCACGGCGCTGCCCACGTTCAGCAGCACCACGAACGCGCCGTGGAGCCAGGAGCCGCCCACGGCGGGCACCTGGGAGATGGAGACCGAGACGGAGGTGGTGACCGAGCTGGTGACGGTGACGGAGGTGTGGGACGAGGGCACGGGGACGGCGCGGCCCTTCACCACCGCGGAGACCTACACCGTGAACTTTGGTGACTAGGGGACGCCCGGCCCCTCGCTCCGCCTCCCGGCGCTCCGCGTGGGCACCGTGCGCGCTCCCGGAGCCCCGGGCCGGGCGGGCACACAGACGCGCGTCCCCGCGCCCGGGCATGGATGAAGCAGGGCAGGGCCCTGGCGTGGTTTTGTTACACAAATAAACAGCTGTATTGGTAGCAGCACTGCATTGCTTCTCCCACCGTACGGCGCAGGAGGGCGGTGAGGTGACGTCTGCACTGCGCTGTCACTGCCCCACCTCCATGTCACTGTCATCCTCGGCACCAAAGATGGAGAAGCTGATGGGCTGGCAGCTGAGGTCGCGCAGGTTGACGAGGCAGGCGGTCTGCGTGGCACTGAAGGCTGGCACTGCCACCAGCAGCACCCGCTGCCCATCCTCCCCTGCAGGACAGGCGGGCGTCAAACGCGAGCGGGGACGGGGACGGGCAGCAGCTGTCCATCACCCACCTGTCAGCAGCTTGGACTGGAACCTGGGCGCGTTGCCGCAGAAGTAGACGTGTGGGCAGTCGGCGAGGATGAAGGGATCCGAGTTGTAGAAGGGGTAGCAGCCTGGAGGAGCAGAGTGAGCTGCGGAATCCGACCCCGCACCCCACTGCGTGGCACTGGGACCCGCAGCCCCTTACCCAGCGTGTCGGGGGCCGTGGGGCTGATGTGCCCCGCCAGCAGCGTCCACTCCAGGATCTCCAGGTAGTCATCCATGCTGCTGTACTTGAAGATGTCGCTGATGTTTTGCCCCGACGTCCCCAAGAACCTGGATTTTGAGGGCGGATCTGTACTCAGCACAACCTACAGCAGAGCCCCGTGCCGCCAGCGGCATCCCAGCCTGGGTGACGCTCCGTGCCTCACCGGACACCGTCCACGTCAGCCTGGTAAGGGTTGGTGACGAGCTGCAGCGTGGGGTAGACGCTGGAGAGGGGCAGCATGCAGCGGTGCAGCGGCTGCTGCGGCAGCGTGTAGTTGGTGGGGTCAAACTCCCCAGGCATCACGTCCACAGGCACGGAGCTCTGCAGGCACAGCAGGGCTGTTGGGGGCCCGAGGGGCTGCGGGAGCCGCTCCGCCAGCCCAGACACTCACACAGAGCTGCAGCAGGATCTCGTCCAGCATCTTCACCGCCTCCACGCTGGCAGCTTGCGTCTTCTTGGTCAAATACTTGGCCTGCAGCAGCGAGGATGCGGTGAGGAGCACGATTTCTCTCCATCCCTCCCTCCCTCCCTCCTGCCGGGCCCCCACTGTCACCATACCTTGTGCAGGCTGTCGCGGCTCTGCGTGCTCTGGCTCAGAAGGTTCCCAGCCAGCAGGACGCGGGAGATGAGCGCAGCACAGCTCTGCTGGCTCTCAGCACCCAGCTGCCCCGTCACCGCGTCCACCAGCAGCTGAGTGCCCAGCAGGGACTCGCCGCTGCCGCTGCCCAACCCCAGCCCCGAGGCCAGCAGCACGAACCTGGGCGGGGGGTGGGCAGAAAGCTGCAGCCCCCATTGCATCCCTCCGGACGGATGGGACAAATGGTCCCCGGGGCCGTGTGGGGACACACCGGGGACGCCACAAGGACTCACCTGTCTGCGCTGGGTCCCTGCCACGGCAGCTGTGGGGGCAGGTGGGCAAAGCAGTGCTCCTCCACCAGGAACTTGCCATCCTCCTGCTCGTGGCCATACACGGCCAGCACAGCGCCTGCAGCGGGTGGGGGGCACTCAGCCTCACCGCGGCTCTCCGGGCCGCCACCACCCGTGCGTCCCCTACCTGTCACCAGCCTCGATGCCTCAATGCTCCCCGTCAGCTTGATGCGCTGCAGCTCGTCCTCCAGCACCAGCTCGTCCGACGGGTCCACGTATTTGGCCAGGGGGGGCTGCGGCACCAGGTTGTGCTGGGGGGACACAACAAGAGAGGGACCCCAGGTTCGTGGGGTGCGCGGCCTGTGCCGGGGCTGCTCTCCAGCTGCGTGCTGGCGCCGGGCTGCTTTCACTTAGCGTGCCGCCAGCGCGGCGGCCAAGGAGGAAGCAGCAGGGCGGGGGGGTCACCCTACCTCCTCGTTGATCTCCTGCAGGATGGAGGGCTGCAGCCGCATGGCCTTGAAGAGCGTCCCCACCACGCAGCACCGCTCGCCTGCCTGCAGCTGGCACAGCTTCCGCAGCAGCACGCCATCACCTGCGGGGCCGCGCGGCTCAGCCTGCACCCATCGCTTCCCCCCTCCACCACGCTGCGAGTGCTCCCCAAAACGCCCCTCCGGAGCTTCGAGGCCTCCGGAGCAAACCCCTCATCCTGCTTCAGTGCTGGGAAAGCAGCCATCGAAGGGTGTCCCCATGTCTGGGGTCTCCCTCCAGGCTTTGTCACCCCGCTGGGTTTTGGGGTGGGAAGTACGAGGGTGAGCAATGCGCTCCAGTCCCACAGACAGAACGGGTGAGGGTTTGGCACTGGGATGGGATGAGAGGGGGGAGGTGGGGGCTGGGAACGGCACCAGCAACGCCAGGAATGCGACTGCCTGGAGGCAGGAAGCGGCCTGCTGAGCCGAGCAGCTCCAACCCCCGCTCCGTGTGCCTGGGGGGCAGCTGGGAGTTCCAAAAAGAAAAACAATCCCAGAAATACGCTGTACGCCGCGGGACAATGGGACAGCATGTCGGGGTCCCCCCGGGGAGAAAGGAAAAGCGGGGAGCAGCGAGGGACTGAGGGGCGGGGGGGCGCTCACCCCATCGGAGCCGTGCCTGCTGCTCCAGGCGGGGCCGCATGCACAGCAGCCGCGTGGCGTAGAGGTGCGCGTACTGCCGGCCAAAGCTGCGCTCCCCCAGGCGGAAGGGCTGCGAACGGTCGGCAAAGTTGCTGCCGGCGCGGGCAAAGGTGGGGGGCTCGGCCGAGGGGGGGGCCAGCAGGGTGTGCCCCGGTGGGGGGGTGACCTCTGAGAACATGGCTGCAGGGCTGCAAGGGGAAGGGGAGCGTGAGGAACCCCGAAACGTGCCCCAAATGCATGCGACGTCTCCCGAACGGTGCTCCCCGTCACTCTGCGGCACCTTAAGGACCCGAAATGCCCCCCCCCCCCAAATAACTCCATGGTACCTGAATGCCCCCCAAAGATTCCCTGGCACCTGAACCCTCCCCCAAATCACACCCTGGTACCTAAAGCCCCCGAAGATGCTCCTTAACTTGCTGGCTGGCATCTGAAATCCCCAAACTGCCCCTCCAGTCAATCCCTGGCACCTGCCCCCTCCCAGTTCTCACCCTGCCCCCTCCCCACCCCCCCCAGCACCCCCCGGGTGCTCAAATTCCCCCAAGGTCCCTCAGTGTCACTCCCTGGCAGATGAAGTCCCTCAAAACAGCCCTTCAGCTCTCTGGCAACTGAAAAAACCCCAAAGCGCCCCAAGAATCCCCCCGACACCCAATAACCCCCAATCCCCCTCAGGTCACTCATTGGTATCTGCAGCCCCCTCAGATGACCCCACCCCCCATCGCTCCGCAGCCCCCGCACTGCCCTCCAAATCACCCCCGACAATCTAACCCTCCCCAGATCTCCCCCTGTACCCAAATCCCCCCGGAGGACCCCCCCCAATCGCTCAGTGCCACCTAAAGCCTCCAGTCGCCCCCTGCTCTCCCCCCGGCCCCTGAACCCGCCCAGAATCGCCCCGATACCCGAATTCCCCCACAGCCCACCCCCCCCGGTACACAAAGGCTCCCAAACGCCCCGTGAACCCCCCGCACACAACCCGGGACCCCCACCAGCCACCCCGTGCTCCCGCTACGACCCTCCCCCACGGTGACGTACGGGGTCAGAGGTCAGAGGTCACGGGGGGGCCGCCGCCTCCTCGCGGCACGGAGGACATCGGGGTCGAGGGGGGGATACGGAATGGCGCGAACTCGGGGAGCGGAAGTGGCGTAACCGCGGGGCGGAAGTGGCGTCAGAGCGGCGCGGCGCCATGGTAACCGCGGTGGCCGCGGGGGTGCTGTTGCCATGGTAACGGTGGGGGCCCGGGCCTGCATCCCGCGGCCCGCGCTGACCTCGCGACCCCACGGATCCGCCGGGCCTTACGGAGCGTAGCCGAGCCCCGCGCGTCCCGTCCGCCCTGGGGGATGAGCGCCGGGCCCGTGTGACCTGAGCCCCGCGTGGGGCCTGCGGGCAGGGCGGCATCACCCCGCACCGCTGCGTCGGCGGGGCCGCGCAGCGAGCAGGGCCCGGTGTGCCCCCCTCCCTCCCCTCTTCCTGCCGCGGTGACGCTCGGGGTGGAGGTGAGGGGCGGAGGTGTGGGGCAGAGAATCGGTCCCTCTCCATTTTAAGGCCTTGTTGGGTTTTCTCCACGCTGAGTGGCTCAGCCGTCCCCGCCGCACGGCCGCGGGGGCTATAAAGGCACGGGGTGGGACGCGGGGCTGAAACCTGCGCTAAGGGACGGCATGGCTGCTGCGCTCATCGTGCTGCTGGCTCTGGGGGCTGGTATGGGGCTGCGGACCTGGGGACGGCACCTGGGGGTGGGGGGCTGAGGGACACATGGGGAAAATGTGGGGATGGGGACATGGGGCCAGGTTTTAGCATGGGGACATGGAGATAGTGGAGATGGGGCATGGGGAAGGGGTCTGTGTGGGAACCTGGGGATGGCAGGGATGGTGATGTGCAATGGGGTCAGGAGTGCACGGCACAGGGTGGGGGCACACGGGGATGTCAGTGATCCCTGGGGTGGCTGTGGGGCAGCGTGGTGACACCCCTGCACCTCCAGCCATGCAGGTGGCAGTGACTGAGCTGCCGCATGATGAGCACCAGGCCGTGGCTGCTGGGAGCCGCTGGGAGCAGCAATGGCACCTGCTGGAGGACGGCTCAGCTGCGGTGAGGATGCGCCCTGGCCATGGGGCACGTTATGGGGCAGCCCTACACTGGGTCGGGGCACGGGGAGGGAGACCCCCTGAGGGTCTGTGTTGTCCGCACAGTGGGACGCAGATGAAGGAGATGCAATGGGACTGGGCAAGGGGATTAAATGCAGAGCCTGCGTCACTCTGGTGAAGAAGCTGCAGAAGATTGTAGGTGACGACCCTGATGAGGTGAGTGAGGTGTGCGGGGTCCTGGAGGAGTCGGGGGGCCCAGCGGCTGCAGTCCCACTGACACCACAGGGCCGGGACCCACAGGAGGCCATCAACACAGCGCTGGACAAGGTGTGCGGTGCAGGGAAACGCCTGAAGAACATCTGCAGGCAGCTGGTGAAGAAGCTCCGGCAGCAGCTCAGCGATGCGCTGCAAGATGACGACAATCCCCGCTCTGTGTGCACTACCCTGGGGATGTGCAAAGGCTGAGCGCGGCCAGAGCCCACATCCTGCGCCCCACATCCTGTGCCAGAGCCCCACATCCTGTGCGCAGACCCCACATCCTGCATATGGACCCCAAAACGCAGACCCACAGCCCCGTCCCAGCCCTCCTTCTGCTCCCTGTTCCCATGCAATAAAGCCGCTCACCTCTTCTGTCGCCCCTTCGATTTGGGTTTTATTTGGCCGTGGGAGCTCTGGGGACGGGGGGCTGACGTGTGGGGACCTCAATGATGGAGCTATGGGGGGCAGGTGGGGGCTCTGGGGACGGGGTCCCTGTGGGGACGTGGGGGTGGTGTGCTGATGGAGAGGATGCGGCGATGGGAGCCAGGCTGAGCCCAGTGGATCCCATCCTGTTGCTCCCAGCCAATCAAAGCACAGGAGATCCTTTTTTTGGCCACAGCCCATGAGAGCACAGGAGATGCTGCAGCTTTTGGGACCGATCAGAGCATGGCATCCCATGGCGGGGGCCGCCTGCTTCTTCCCAGACCCAGGTTGCCCCCAGATGACGCCTGCCCCTGGGAGGCCCCCATACCCTGGGGTGCCACTCGGCAGCCCCAAACCCCCAGGGCGTCCCCAGCCCCACGGGCTCCATCCTGATGTGTCACCCCACAGAGACCCTGCACCGCAGACCCCTGCGGGACACCTGAGGTGCCCTCATAACCCCCGTGGGATCACCAGACCGGGGGCCCCCAGTTTTTAGCCCCACGATGATTGCTCTGACCTCCACGAGGCGGCACATGTCACCACAGGGCTGTCACCACCAGAACCGAGCGGGCTGGGGATGCTGACTTCCACCGCTGGGACCCCCGGGCCAAGGGGCCGCCAGGTTTGGGGTCGCAGGGTGCTGCCCCACGGGTGGGGCCACGGCTCCCCCAGCGCTCCGTCCTCATCCCCAGAACGGTCCGGGGGTCTCGGGGAGGGGACAGCAGAGGGCAGCCATACAGAGCAACGCTGGGACAGCGTTCCCAGAGGAGAAGTCCACGCCGACCCCGTTTATTGGGGAGCCCCGGTGCCATCGCGGCGCCAGCCGAGCCCTTCCCACATCAGTCCTGGCTCCTCAGCGCGTCCCCGCCGCCCAGTCCGGCTCACTGCCCCATCATGCACGCCATCTTGCAGGCCACGGCCGAGATGAGCGCAGCCCCGCGCCCGCTGCCCTCCTCCGACTGGATGAAGGTGATGTCGCAGCCGGGAGTCAGCTGTCGTACGGTGGCGTGGAAACGGTCCTTGAAGCTGCGGGGGGAGGAAGAAGGTTTGGGGTTGGGTGGGAGTAGGGTTAGGGTGAGGGAGAGGGTCGTGGTTAGGAGTAGGGTTATGGTCACAGTTAGGGTTAGGGTTAAGGTGAGGGTTAGGATTACAGTTAGGAGTAGGGTTGTGATCACAGTTAGGGTCAGGGTTGTGATTAGGGTCGTGGTTATGGTTAGGGTTAGGATTACAGATAGGAGTAGGGCTATGGTCACAGTTAGGGTTAGAGTAATGGCTGGAGTTAGGATTATGGTTTTGGTTATGGTTAGGGCTAGGATCACAGCTGCAATGAGGACTATGGCTAAGGTTGGCGTTGTGTCCCAAGGTGGGGTTATGGATGGAGTTACGTCACGGTAGGGTTAGAAGGAGAAAACGGAGCGTCGGGGCAACGGGAAGAGGAGGACGGAGGCTGGGAGGGGGGACGCCTCCCCACGGTCTCACCTGGGGTGCAGCTTGTACACAGAGCCGTCCACCCCCACGGTGATCTTGAGGGTCTCCTGGCTGCGGCTCTCCCGCATGCGGTTGATGACGCCCGCCAGCCCGGCGGAGCACATCTGCGCAGCCCGCGTGGACACGCTCTCGCACACCATGCGCACGATGTCGCAGTCCGAGCCCGAGGGCAGCAGCCCGAAGGCTGTGAGGATGTTGTAGATCTGCTTGCGGTCGCCTGAATCGCTGCGGTGGGACAGAGCCGCGTGTGGAATGGGGGATGGGGGTAGAATGGGGCCGTGGAGTGGCGTGGGGCACCCGTGGGACTGGAATCCAACTCTGCACAGCTACGGAGGGCTGGTGTGGGCCGATGGGGCAGGGAACCCCAGTGGGGATAGTTCTGGAGGGCTGGCATGGGATGAGAGAAAAGGGGGCCCCAAATTGGAGCAATGGGACAGGGGACACCAACCTAGGCCAGTAGGATAGGGGACTGCAGTGTGGGCAGCTGTAGAGGGCTGATGTGGGGTACAAGACGGGGGCTCCCATTTTGGGACAGCCATTAGAGTGAGTTGGGCTGATGGCAAAGCAGACCCTGGCGTAGGACGCTGATGTGGGGAGACGGAGCTGCAGAGCTTGATGTCCAGCGTGAGGCAACAAGGCAGGGAACCCCAGTATGGGGCAGCTGTAGAGGGCTTTCACAGGATGATGGCACAGGGGCCTCAGTAAAGACAGTGAGAAACAGCTGCCGTAGGGTGATGACACAGGGGACCCCTGTGTGGGACAATCTGGTGGGGAGGGATGGGGGAGGGGATCCCAAAGTAAGACAATGGGATAAGAGAACAAAGTGGGATCATCTATGGAAGAGGGACTGCAGGGTAGGGCAGCTGTAGAGGGCTGGTGGGACACAAGCCCAGTGTGGGACACTGATGTGGGGAGATGGGGCAGGGGACCCCAGTGCGGGACGTAGGAGAGAGTAATGAGCAGGGGAGCTCAGAGTCCATCTGAGGAAATGAGGGAGGGAAGCCTGGTACAGGGCAGCTGTAGGGGGTTGTCATGGGGTCACGGAATGGGGGACCCCAGTGTGGGGAAGTGGGGCAGGGGAGCCACATGTGGGGCTGTTCTGGAAGGCTGCCACAGGGTGATGGGGCACCTCAGTGAGGGGCAGACCGGTGTTGGGAGACGGGGCAAGGGACCCCAGGGCTGGGGAATGACGCGGGGAAGCCAATATGGGGCAGCTGCAGATCGTTGCCGTGGAGCGACGGGACAGAGGACCCCGCATGGGGCAGTCGGGGAGAGGGGACGGGGACCTTAAGGTGGGGTGAGGGGACAGGGAGCATCACTGACCCGAGGGCCCCCCCGCCCCCCGTACCTCTCCACCTGCGACACGAAGCGCGTCTCGAAGGCTCCGCGCGTCTTGAGCTTCTCGCAGGCCTGCCCGCTGAACAGCAGGTTCTCATCCACCAGCCGCAGCAGCACCAGCCGCACGATCTCCCCCATGTATTTTCCCCCGATGATCTTCTCGTAGCTGGGGACGGCGCAGCGTCAGCGCCCCGCTCCCCCACCCCACACATTCCATAGGGGGAAGGAGCCGCCGCCGCCCCACTCCTTACAGCTGCTGACCGGGGTTAAGCGAGGTCTCGTCCACCACGCGGTCGTACTCCAGCAGGAACTCGTCCAGCTCCCCCGACGCCCCGAATGCTCCCCACTCCGTGTTCACACACATGCGGCCCTCATCGCCCTCCACCAGCTCCACGTTGTGCATCTCCTCCATGTAGCAGGCGTTGCAGCCCGTCCCTGCGGGGGTGGGGGGCGGCTTTGGGGTCTGGGCCCGCTCCGTGCCCCCCGGTATCGCCCCGCTGTGACCCCCTGGCTCCTTACCCACGATCATGCCGACCTCGCAGCGGTGGTCCTCGTAGTAGCAGGAGATCATGGTGGCAACGGTGTCGTTCACCATGGCCACCACGTCCATCTCAAAATCCTGCCAGGAGGGACACGGGGAGACGTGGTGACAGTGGGTACAGGATGGGGACACGCGGTGAGGGTGGGCACGGGATGGGGACACACGTGGCGACTGCAGACCCAGGGTGGGGACACACACGATGGCGGTGGGTCCCAGGGAGGACACACACGGTGACAGCGGGGCCGGGGGGACGGCTCACCCCGCGCCGTTTGATGGCGTCCCGCAGCAGCCCCACCACGTTGTTCCCCTCCGCTCCCGAGGCCTTGAAGCCCTTGGTCCAGTTCAGCAGGATGCCCTGGGGGGCACGGAGCGTTGGGTGGGGGTCGCAGCGGCTCTGTGTCCCCCCGCCCCGCCGTCCCCTCACCTTGTCGATGTCCTCGTGCCGCACGGGGAAGGAGAAGGTGAAGCCCAGGGGCAGCTTTTTGTGCTTCATCTGGTGCTTGTCCAGGAAGTCAGAGATGCACTCCGAGATGTAGTCGAAGAGCTGGGGACGGCAGGAGGGATGTCACCGCAGTGTCCCCATCCCTGGTGCTACTGTGGCCCCGTCACCCCACCCCCAGCACCACCATACCCACACCGCTCCGTTCCCAGCACTGCCACAGCCCTGCCACCGCCGCCAGCACTGCCATGTCCCCACTGCCCTGCCCCCAGAGCCACCGTGTCCCAGTCACCCTGTCCCCAGTGCCACCACATCCCCATCACCCCATCCCCACCGCCATCATGACCCCATCATCCTACCTCCAGTGCCACTATGTCCCGGCCGCCCTGTCTGTCCTGAGCATCACCAAGTCCACACCGCCCCCTCCCCACTGCCACCATGTCCCCATCGCCCCATCCCCGGAGCCACCCTGTCCCCAGACTGGACACCAAAGGGGGACACCCCTCCTCCCTTGGCAGCGAGGACCCCCTTGGTCCCCGCTCACCATTTCGGCCGTCCCCGTCATGGCGTCCTCAGGGATGGAGTACATCTGGTGCTTCGTCTTCACCTTCCACTGCCCCTCCTCGCCCTCGCCCACCTTCACCAGCATGACGCGGAAGTTGGTGCCGCCCAGGTCCAGCGAGAGGAAATCCCCGACCTCTGCGGAGCAGCGTGGACACACGGGGCGCCTCATGGCCATCCTGCCGCTCCCGCAGCCCAGGGCTGGGCGCAGCCCCACGGCTCCTTACCCGACCCCTCCGGCGTGGAGCGCACGTAGGTGGGCAGCATTTTGACCGACGCCTCCTCGTGCGTCTCCAGCTTCAGCCCGCGGTCCATCTCCTTCTGCATGCGGTGCATCACCTTCCGCAGGTCTTCCTCCTTCAGACGGAACTCCGACAGGATCTGCTCCACCTGCGGGGTTTCCCGGGGCCATGGGACCCCCGGCAGTGGGTGCTGAGGACCCCAATCCCCTGTTCCCCCCCGCTGCCATCCCTGCTGTTTTCCTCCCGGCCGTGCCGCGGCCCCCAGCCAGCTGTGCTCGCTGCATTAAGGCCTCATTAGTCAGCGGGCCCAGGCTGCGAGCGCCACGGCTGTTTTCCTGCGGCTGCTGCTTTGCAAAGGAGCGAACCAACGGAGCCTTTGGGGTGACCCCAACAGAGCCTTCAATACAATCCCAAAGCAGTCCGCAGGGCGAGCTCCCACAGTCTTCAGAAACTGGGGTGACTCCAATGGAGCCCTTGAGATGACCCCAGCAGAGCCTTCGGGGTGACCCCCACAGCACCTTTGGGGTGATCTCAAAGGGGCCTTCAGGGTGACCCCAACGGAGCCTTTGAGGTGACCCCAATGGAGCCTTCAATGCGATCCCAAGGAAGTCTTCAGAGTGAGCCCAACAGAACTTTTGAGGTCACCCCAATGGAGCCTTCAGGGTGACCCCAACAGCACCTCTGGGGTGACCCCAGTGGCACCTTCATGATGACACAGAGCCGCCCCACACTGTTGGGCGCTGCTCCTCGCTGAATCCTCCCCCATCCCTCCATGCCCACCCCAGCACAGACACTTGAAGCCCTGCGAGTCCAACTTTGGGGTCTCAGCCCCAAGCCCCCCCATGGGGACACAGCACTGTGGTCTCGGGGTTAGGAGCACCACAAGGAGAAGCATAGCTGATGGCACCCCACGTGCAGCCCCCTGCCCTCCTGCCACCCCCCTCCCCACAGTGCTGGCCCCACAGCTCTCTGCTCCCAATGTGGGGCTTTGCTTTGCATTCGGGTCTGTCCTTTCCCACCCAACACCAGTGCAGGACGCAGGGTCCTGCCGGGCTCTTCCTGGGGTCAGAGCCCACGTGCCCCATGCAATGCCCGGCGCCCAGCACCCACAGCCCAACCTGCCAGCACCTCAGCCCAGCACAGCCACAAGTGGGCCCGGCCGTGGGGCTACGGCGCTATGGGGCCACGGGGCTATGGTGCAATGGGGGTATGGGGCCATGGGGTGATGGTGCTATGGGGCTGTAGGGCCGCGGTGCTGGAGCTCACCTTCTCCTGCCGCCAGCTCTCCATCCTGCTCCTGTGGTCCAACATGGGGGCAGCCGTCGGTGCGGGCCGGACACCGCTGTCCCCCCGCGTCCCCCCGTGTTCCCCCCGCCCGGATCTCCGCCCTTAGCTCATGGGGTGCCCCCGGTCCCCCCCCACGGCCGTCCCGTCAGGAGGGCTCGGGCCCGGCTCCCCACATCCCGGGGCGGCCCTCGGGGTGCGGGGTGCCCGCAGGCCCTCCTCCTGCTCTGCCTGCTGCCCCGTGGGGCGGTGGGGAGGCCGTGGGCGCCCGGCGGAGCGGTGCAGCCCGTCAGCGGGCGGCAGTTGTCATACCAACCACTCCGTGTCCTGGTCACCACCGCCAGCTCTCCAGCGGTCCCATGGAGACGGGAGACCGCGGCTCCGTGACAAAGGTGACAGTGCGACGGCCGCCGGCCCCACAGCGCCGGGGGGAGCCCCACGTGGGGCCCAACCGGCATGGCCCCCCAGGATGACCCCATAGCGCTGGCCCCATAGCGTGGTGCCTGCCCCACAGCGGGGTGAAGCTGTGGGGTCGTGAGAGAAGCGTTAGGGCGCACCGGGGGGCTGCCCCAGAGGGGGCCATTCTGTGGGGTGAGGCTGCCCCATGGGGCCGGCCCCACACCTGAGGCCACGCCCAACGCGGAGGCCCCGCCCACCTCAAGGCCCCGCCCACGCGCGAGGCTCCACCCACACGTGTACCATGGGTGTGGCCCCACCCCATCTCGGGCGCGCCGCCCACACTACAGGCCACGCCCTTTCAGACGGACACGCCCCATAGGCCACGCCCCCTGCACAGACCACGCCCCCAATCCTTTCCCCGCCCGCACTGAAGGCCCCGCCCACTGGTGAAGCCCAGCCTCCAGACCAGGCCACGCCCACAAAAGGCCCCGCCCTTCGCCCAGCATGACGTCAGTGCGACGCTGATTGGCTCTCCCCGCTCCGATGAGGCAGGTGGGCGGGGTCGGCCATCCTGCCGTACTGTCATTGGCTGAAAGACGGAAGGAGGGCGCAGCGAGGGTGGCGCCTGCGCAAGGCAGGTGTGGCCCCGTGGCAGTGACCGGCGTTGGGGTCACTTCCGGTCGCTGCCTTTCTGCTTCCGGGTCCGAAGCTCTCCCCTCCGCCGTCGCTTACGAACAGCCCCGCTGCGCCGGTACCGGGCGGGCGCGGCCTAGGGGTGCGGGGCGGGGCCTGGAGGGGCCGGGGGCCGCAGGGGGCCGGGAAACAGCAGGGCAGAGACAGCGGAGCCGCGCCGGGAGCGCTGCGGGGCGGAGGCTGCGGTGATGGGAGCTGGGAGGGAGGGAACGTGGGGTCCCGGTGTGGTTCTTTTGTGACCGGGGGAGCTTTAGTGGGTTCCCATTGCGGTGCTGGGGGATCCCGGCGGGTTGCACTGCCCGGTGGGTCTCGGTGAGGTCGCGGTGCTTCCCGTTGTGCTCTGATGGATTCCCGGGGGGTTCTGGGGCGTTCCCGGTGGACCCGATGCAGTAGTGGTGGGGTTCCGGGGGGGTCCCGGCGGTTCCCGTTGGGGTCTGAAGGCGCTCGGTGGGTTCCTGGTGGTGTCGGAACCAGACCGGTGGGGTCCGGTGCACCCAGTGGAATCCCGGTGTGTCCCAGCATCAAACTGGTGTGCCCGGTGGGGTCCTGCTGGGTTCTCGTTGGGGTCTTTGTGGGTCCTAAGGAAGTCCCCGCGTGCCCCGGTCCTCCAGGTGGGCTCTGAGTGGTTCCCACTGGGGCCCTGGGTGGAGTCCTTGTGGGTCCTGGTGCGCCTGCTGAGCTCCCTGCGGCTGCTCTTGGGGTTCTGGTGGTTCCTGTTGAAGTCCAGATGCGCTCAGGTCCTGGTGGAGTCCTTGTGGAGTGCTGGTTGGTCCCTATGGGGTCCCTGTTGTGTTTGGTGTGCCCAACGGTGTCCCAGTGGGTCCCAGTGTCGTCTTGCTGTGCTCAGTGAGGTTTCTTTGTGTCCCCGTGGGCTTCTGGTCTGGGCCGGGTGTGCCCTGTAGGTCCCAGCATGGTGCTGGCAGGGTCCCCGTGGTCCCCTTGCCCACAGGACGCTGCTCAGCGCCCCGCTCTGCCCGCAGCGCCCGCCATGAGGCTGTACAGCCTGAGCGTGCTGTACAAGGGTGAGGCCCGCGTGCAGCTGCTGAAGGCCGCCTCCGATGTCTCCACCTTCAACTTCTTCCAGCGGTCCAGGTGAGCCCCCGACCCCCCTATGTCCCCAGAGTGTGTGGGGCCGCGTTCTGCTCCCACACAGGAGGCACTGCCTTCTCATTACATCTCACTGCCATCTCATTACATCTCACTGCCTAATTACAACCTGCTTTGTCTCCCTGCTGGGCGCTGCCCGCTCAGGACCAGCCGGTTCAGCCCGGAGTTTGGGAGGGCTCAGAGCCCTGTGGGATGGGGCAGGAGTGGAGCTGTTGGGCTGCTCGCTCACAGCGTTCCAATTCCCAGCCCTGTCCACACTGAGGGTTTGTTTGCAGCCTCTGGCGCATCTGGTTCTGCAATTGCAGCGATAGAGGGAAATGCTTTTAAGTAAAACCATCTCAAAAAACCATTCTTTGGGCCAAATAAGTGAGGGGAAAGGTGGAGTCTGGGCAGCCCTGTCACACATGCACTCGAAGGCGGATTGAGCGCGGTGAAGTGATCTGCAGAGCCCACTGCTGCTTATCGTGGCTCTTTGCCGAACGCAGACATTTGCTGCAGAAGGGCTGTGCCTGTGCTGGGGGAAAATGCCCTGAGAAATCCCAGCACAAAACCCACCAGTGTCTCAGTGGGGCTGTGGGAGGGGAAGAGGGGCCATGGGGATGGGCCGGGGCCAGCCTGTGCCCCACAGCCCCATGGGGCCACGCTCCTGGGTCGCTGAGAGCCGGCGTTTTGTGCTCGCAGCGTGCAGGAATTCATGACCTTCACCAGCCAGCTGATTGTGGAGCGCTCGGAGCTGGGCAGCAGGGCCTCGGTCAAGGAGCAAGGTGAGCGCTGTGCCTCCTCCAACCGCGCCTCCCCTCCCCGTGCTGGGCGGGCTGGAGCAGAGCAGGTCCAGGCCTGGAGTCCTGCCCGCACTGCGGAGCTGAGCTCCCTCCTGGAGCACTGAGGGGCTCCGGACCCCCCCCAACCCCCCCTCTCTGCCCAGACTACCTGTGCCACGTCCACGTGCGCAGTGACGGGCTGGCCGGCGTGGTGATTGCCGACAACGAATACCCGTCACGGGTGTGCTTCACTTTGCTGGACAAGGTGAGCGGCGCAGGCGGGACTTGTGTGTCACCTCGGGGCCTTCCTGGGGGTCTGCCAGCTCTGTGCTGGGGGAACAAACCCTGCTCCCTCACACGCAGGTCCTGGAGGAGTTCTCCAGGCAGGTGAGCAGGGCAGACTGGCCCTCGGGGTCTCCTGCCACCATCAGCTATGCAGCTCTGGATGGATACCTCAGCAAATACCAGGTATGGGGCCCGGGCTTCCGGGCTGCTGCGCGCGTCGCTGCTGCGCTGACGCTGCTGTCTCCTCTCCCAGAACCCCCGTGATGCCGACCCGATGACCAGAGTGCAGGCAGAGCTGGACGAGACCAAAATAATCCTGGTGAGGCTGCAGCCGCTGCCCATCCCTGCTCCCCTCTGCTCCGTCATGGGAGCTCCGTGCCATCAGCACCGCTTCCTTTTGGCAGCACAACACTATGGAGTCACTGCTGGAGCGAGGGGAGAAGCTGGATGATCTGGTGTCCAAATCTGAGGTGCTCGGCGTGCAGTCCAAAGCCTTCTACAAGACCGTGAGTCTTGCCTCGGGGTTTCCCTGTGAGCTGTGGGATGGGATGGGATGAGGGCAGCGAGAAGCTCGGCTTCCCAGCTGTGGCTGTGGAGCTCCTCGACCCCTCCAGAGGAGCCGAACCTCGCGGCTGTGGGTTTGGACACGAGCTGAGCTGTCGGGCCGAGGTCAGCCCACGGCTGGGGGTGCGCTCACGCCATTTCCTCCACCTCTGCAGGCCCGAAAGCAGAACTCGTGCTGTGAGATTATGTGACCCGGAGCCGGGGCTCTCCTGCTCCAGCTCACCGGGGCCTTCGCTCCCGTTCGGATCTCGGCCGCTCCCAGGACTGAAAGCAGAACCCCGCGGGCTCCTGGGCCGCAGCCTTACCCAAAAACTGGACTCAGCGGCCCCTGTGCCGGGGGAGCGCCGTGCCCCGCCATGACGCCTGTCACACCAGCGAGTGCCTCGGCCGTGGGACGGGGAGAGAGGAGCCGGGCCCCCCTGCAGGGCCTGAGGCTGTGCGGGGAGCGGGGGGGCTTTTATGGGGCTGCTGCAGGGGGGGGAGGAGGGAGGGGAGATGGGTTTCTCTGGTCTGCGGCGGGCTGGGGGCTCCGTGCTGCGTTCTGCCCCCTTCCTCCAGCAGAACCAGGGGCCGTGGGGGCAGGGAGGCACCCAGGGGACGTGGCACTGCACAGGAAGCCCTGCAGCATGGCGCTGTCACCTTTGGAATGGGTCTGAACCCCCACTTCCTGCCTGGCCCCTGCGGGCAGGTTTGGGGCGTGGGGAAGCGGCGGGGACGGGCGTGGGGCTCCCTGCTCATCGCCCCATGGCAGCCAGGGGGGTCTCAGCCTCCAGCCCCACTCCTCGGGAAAGGCAAAGCTTTCGCTCGGGATGTAGTGTGATCGGTGTTGCCTGTTGTTTCCGTGCTGGCCCATAAAGTTGTCTTTGACGGTTTGTAGCTCAGCTCTGCTTGGGCGTCCGGGGCTGGGATGTGAGGCTGGGGGCGGGGGGCAGCACCAGGGGGCGGCCCTACAGGAAAAGGCCGGGCAGCAGCG